TCCGGGGAGAGTCCAAAACGGTTGTAGTATCTAGTGCCCAGGAACACGGGCACTAAAGAAATCTAAAAGGTCAAGGGCAAGAAAAGAGCCTAACTACTTTGCAAGGTCATCAAAGAGACGACTTGAGATTCGCTGTGATGTCTGGATTCAAAACAGAGGGTTCAGAGGGCTTTTAAACAAGCAAGTACAATACAGATGGGATGCTGGGAATGCAAGGCCCTTTCAGCTCCTGCTGGGATTAACGGGAGAGATGCAACTCCAGCTCCCAGTGCCATCCACTTCCATTAGCACCACTTACAGGAACGGGGTACTACAAATTAATCTGAACCACAAATTCAATCAAAACACCTTTGTTCCCACAAATAGTAGAAAAAAAACAAATAGAGAAAAAAAAAGCCATCTAGATCAATACAGAAATGACACAGTGACACAATAGTAGAGAAGTCTTCATATTTTTTCTTACATTTCTAATGCACATACAGTGTGAGAACAGAAATCACCATGAACCAGAAAAACAGTGAGTAAAGTATAATAGTAGCAGATCAGAACAGTTCCCACAAATCTGTAACAAATTCTTGAGAATAAAAACCTTTGCAGATCCAAGTTTTATCTTGATTCTGGCCTCTCACAATCATTCCATTCAAATAACTCTGCCAATTATTTTGCAAAGTGCTGCTTCTAAAACAAGACACTTTATCATCAAAAAGTTATCCAAATTGCTGTGACCACATAGTATATGGGTTTTTTATTATAGTATTTAGGAAGTGAGAGCTAAAAATACCATCCCTTTTGAAGTGGGCTACAGCCCATATAAATGTACTGGTGTTTAAGACCCATGAAAGGCTCATATGTTTGGTGAAATACTACTTGAAGTTCAAATTTTCTATACCATTATTCAATTTTTGTATGGGATGCATACTGTAGCCACGCCAGACAAACAGAAAGCAGTTTTTAGGAAAAACACAACAAAATGAAAACTAGAGAAAACACCAGAAGTGTGATAATACATCCAAGGAGCAATAGATAAACTATTACTGCAGAGAATCCTGCCTGCAACTATTCTAAAGTATGATTCAGTATAGAGAAAAAACAACAGAAGTGGATGAAAAAAAACATACCCTATAAGTTGCCAGGAGCTAATGTACAGAGAACAAGCTGTCTGGATACTGCAGAGATTCACGCTACCTGACACCTGGAAGGCAGAGTCCCTCTCTGCTGCGCCTCCTTATTCTCTCCCTTGTAACCAGCGCGCCTCTGGAAAAGCCCCGTGCGCACCTTATGAGCCCCCTGACAGAACTCAATGCTGTGTTCAGAAAGGCTCGTGATCAGTGCCCTACAACCTGCACAGCGCTGCCTCTTGGCAAAAGCTAAAGAGGTGCAGAGAGGAAGCGCAGCACTCTGAGACCACACGGCAGGGCAGGCCAGCGAGAGCCGGTGCTGCTGGAGAAGCATCCTGTGGATACTCCCCAAAAGCAGCCAGAGGTAGACAGGAGAGACGGGAGAAGGAGGAATGGACAGATGGGAAGCATGGAGTAGAAGTGAAGTGACAGTGTGGCCTCTCCCCACGCCAGCTCTGAGGCTAGCGCACCTCCCGAAGCACCTTTCCCTGGGGCAGGAGGGGAGGTACCGGGAAGACACGGTATCTTGGCTCCGGAGTTCAAGCAAAGCAACAGTCACTACACCCGAGTCTGTGCCCCTGTAACATTTAATAGCAGTAGATCTAGTATTTGTCATGCAGACCTCTGGGGTGCATTAGAAGATAAGAAAACATGATTATAATTAATCATTATTTCTTCCAGAAGGCTAAAGCTATATATGAAAAATTAGTAAGAACCACAGCAACCAGCAAGTAAAAATACTCCTTCATATTAGTCATATACAAAATTAGAGGTCCCACTGAAAAGACACGCAACTGATTATAAACCTGATTGTAGCCAGCTTTACTGCCCTCTTTACTTTCTATAGCGTACCCACCTGTAAACACAACTAATTATATTACTCTTCATTTTTTATATTTTACCAGAAAATAGAAATGAGTGGACACATGACAATTTAACTGGAGAGAAATGAGAAGGTGTCAGGGACTGTGTCAATAATGAATTAAGGGACTCAGGGGCCATGTCCTTTGATAAATGAAGTTTTCTATTACTTATTAGCACGTGTGAGTTATATCAGAATATTTCCAAGGAGTGGGTGCTATTTAATGCTGCTGCTCTTCGCACCTCAGAGTTATGACATAATTTGCTATATTATGGCCTACTTATCAAACTAAATGAAACTCCATATTATAACAACATACAGTGTAGTGAAAGAGGCCCTATATTGTCAGACAATCTATGCAAATAGTAAAAAAGAGTGTGTTTTACTTTAGTTTGCACATGTTTATAAACTGCTGGTTACTATTTCCATGATATTATTTAAGACAAAAGATGATAATTAAAATAATGCAAGGAATACTTCTATGTCCTTTTGGATTAACAAGCTTTCTATTTTACAGTATCAAAATCTGATTTTTAAGGAAGAACAGTTGATGAGCTTTAGTGTTTCTTCAAAATTCTCTGAACTTAGTTTTCTTGATACAATGAAAAATAATAACAATACACAGTATAAGAATGCACAGTACAGCTTCAAGCTAAGAACTATTGACACTGTTCAGAGGCAACAGGTATGTAAAACTGTACTGATCTCAGTAGGAACTACAGGTGATATTTGGCTTCCCTGATAATTGTGCTTAAAATATACTTTCTTGCATGAAAAGATGTTTCTGAGTACACAGATTGAGACATATTACGAACCCTTTCAAACACCATGATGTAAACAGTTCCCAATTACAAAACCTTTTTTGCATCACGTTTTTACCCCTTTTAAATGACATCTGGATTTAATGCACATTTATTTAGAAGCCATGCTGATACCCCCAGTAGCCATAGTATAGTACATGGCAAGATGATAATACTGCAGCCACCTGCAATTATTATTCAACTACTATAGCCACATGGATTGGCTACAGGAAAACAAATTATTTAAGGAAAAAACTACTTTTCCCAAACCTAAAAACTGTGAAATACTTGGTGTCATTAGTTAAAAAGCACCTATCTCCAAAAACAACCGTAATTTGAAGATCTGTTCTTCTTCCAATTGCTGTTTAATTTATTAACAGATTGCTGTGCAATGGTATGGCCAGCCACAAGGGCTGGCCTCCCTCTCTGAAGTCATGGGGGATCCAAGCACATTCATGCTGGATTGCCACGTGTGCACATCCGGCCTCTTTTTTTTTCCTCTTGTTCCACGCTGGGCTTCAGAAACTGCCTAGCTACAAGCTTCAATGAAACACGCATTACCACTGAAAGGTCTCACAACTGATTGCACATTCCAAACAGATCCCTTCTAACCCTGAGTAGGTCAAAAGAGACCTACCCCTGGAACCTCTTCTACAGCCATTCGCTTCTCTAAGTGCAACCACACTCCAAATGTTCCTCCCAGCAGCAGGCAGCTTTGAAAGATGCTTAGAAATGCAACTGGATTGTTCCAACAGCAGCTGCAGGCAATACTATATAAAATTGGATTTTTTTAAAAATAATATTGCTAAAATTACCATATAAAATTTAGTTTTAGGTTTGCTTTTCTACATTTTGTCAGATATATGTATTTAATTCCCAGCTATGCCTACAAGATAGTTGCAAATGAATTTCTAACTTATCACAAGATATTTTCATATTATATTAAATATTTTGTTTTATGCAGTATTAGTGTGATTTCACTGAACATAAGAATTTTTAAGACATGCATTCCATAACATCTATATATTTTGCCTAAAGCAAAATGTGCCTTAGGTTACCACTATGTAGGCAGACAGGCTTCCTTGAGGTAAGAGCAGAATATTTGCCCAGCATATTCAGTTATTACTTAAATTTTAAGCAAATAGTAATTAAAATGGTCTAGTTAGATCGTCTATCCTAGCAGTCATGTGATGCCATCCTGAATGAAATCAATGGTTGTCAGTTAATCCCTTCATCACTTTCTATTCCCACTGCCTTAAGTTAGACTTGGAAAGCAATAGTCCTAGAACTAGTGCCCACAGAGGCCATTAAAATACCTGCTTTGGGGTTGTTTCTTTTTCTTCTCCTTTTTGCTACCTCCTTGTAGCTCAAACTTTCTGAGTAAGGTTTCAGCTTCACATTTATTTCATCATTTCACTCACATTAAAAGGTTCCTGAAAGAAGTAGACTTCTTCCAGGTAAGAAAGGAAAAGTACACTGAAATTAAAAAAAAAAAAAAAAAAAGTTACTGCTTGATTCCCAAGTTCGCTAATTTCAAACTGTATCTGTGATGAAGCAGTAAATTTTTTTTTTTTTTAAACCCTTATTCCCGATAATTACTAATTGCTCAAGGCTTACAAATAGAGCACCGATACCTTTCCTTTTTACAAAGTTCCGTGCAGCCTGCATACAGGGACATCATTTCAAAAAATGCCCAGAAGGGCAAGGACTTCAAATGAAAACAGTTTCTAAAAGGATAGCTTTGCTTACTTGCTTTAAACAGAGAGGGTTGCAGGACTGCTTTTTAATTCAGCCTGGAAGGAAACCCACTAGGAAAAGATAAAACCTCTGCTCTACTGAAGATCATAAAATTAGCTTTAGACAGTTGCAAAAGATGCTAAGCAATAGCTTATATTGGCTCCTAAGAGCAACACCTCCGTTCTTCCTAAGAGTACCTCTGCGGGTACAATAACTTTCACCAATGATGTGCTTTTTCCTTAAAGGAAGGCGGAGTTAGGAGGTAGTGTCTGGGCCATAAATAAGAGGATCTTATGTCAGGGAAATTAGAAGTCAGTCAACATAAGCCTATACTCAGAGTGAGCATTAGAGGGCTTTTCTAAACCATCTAAGGCTGCTGAAATTGAGGCACCGCAGGAGGAATCCGAGAGTTACTCGGGAGCTGAGATCCAAAGGCAGGAGCAAGGCAGCGGTTTCTCTCGGCTGAGGGGCTAGCGGGGCAGCATGAGGCGCGCGCCGGGTGCGTTGCTGCTCGCAGCGCTGCTGCTCGCCAGCCGGGCGCCGCAGCGCGCCGGGGCCTGCAGCTGCGCCCCTGCCCACCCGCAGCAGCTCATCTGCGACTCGGCTCTAGGTGAGTCCCAGCGGCGCAGCGCGACGCTGCCGCGGCTCAGCTGGCTGCGCCCGCGGGTTCGGTGTTTAGCCAGGTGGCTCGGGCTCTCTGAGGATTTTGAAACAAAATAACTGCAAAATGTCCTTTGAAAAAAGAGGGCTATGGAAAAATAGTGGCAGTAGCTCTTCTGTTTCTTGCTTTTCCAGAATATTGTGTGGGTTACAAATTGTTGAAACTGCTTTATTATTTAGTGCTTTTTCCTTTTTAATAGGGACATCTTCTGTATCAACTCCTAGCTTAAAGTAGGAAATAGTATCTGTACCTTTAAAGGGCTTCCGTTAACAGCATCTCTAGTATAAGATTTTATCTAAATATGCACATGGTATGTATGAATTCTGCATATTAATACTGGTGGCACAGCTGGCTGTAACACAGAACTCTTGGAAAACAAAACAAATAACAAAAATCCTCCCTGAGAATACACTGAAAGACTGGATCTTTGTTCTGCTACACTACAACTTATTTACATTTGCTTTTTGTCATTTTTGGAAAATACTTGACCAAGAATCTGTATGGACATTGATTTTCTATTGGTAAGCTGGCAATGGAGTTTCTGTATAAGTATAGCTTTCCAGGCTTTAGGACAACTATGTTTCCTGATATTGGGTCAACTTTGCAGTTGTCAAACAACTTACAGAAACAAACTAAAGATCTCAAAAATTAGACTGCATGGGTATGAGAAATATGATGTTCTCCAGTCTTTTGATTTCATTAGCTCAAGCTGAGGCTGGTTAGCTTCCATCTAGTGTGAACAGTAAATGTAGAACATGAGTTTCCAAAGTGTCACAAAATTAGCATCTCTATGGGGCAAGCAATACCTTCTGCATACTGATTAATTGCTTTTATATCCTGACAGAAAATCTTTGTAGCCATGACAAACTCTGAGCTCTGTTTGTGGCCATCAGTTAAATTGTTTTTTTAATCTAGCTTTTTTAGGCATTTTTTTTTTTTTTTTTTTAAAGTTACCTACACCAAGCATGACAAACATTGACTTGTTTGAGGTGAGAAAAAAAAGTTGTGCTTCCAAAAGCTTAAACATATATGTTTACTTTGAACTATATTAGTCTGATACATTCTTAAATGTAATAAAGTAACAGTTTTTCAAAAACAGACTTCAAGAAATACTTCTAGATAAACAATTTTCCAACCAAGAGGAAATTCAAGCTACTCATTATGACCATATTCCTTAGGGATGGCATTCTGCCCATTCTTTTTAAGGCAAGTTTTCTTAGATTTATTTTACAAATGGTAAATACATACTATTTTTTAATTTCTCATTAAATTCTCAAGATTGTAGAATGAAAGTAGATTTGGAAAGAATATTTGAACTCAGTGCTCAAATATTATCTTACCTAAATACTCACATTTAAGTGAATCTTTTGACTAAGGAATGTTTATATTGAAGAATTCTGTTTAGGATTTATCTTTTTAGAATAGCATTTATACATGTTATATGAACTGACAGATATGTAGATACCCACATACATTGGAGATAGGCATACACATTAAACCTACTCTAAGCATTTTTGGATGAATCCATTAATTCACTTTGGACACAATAGCTTGTGCACAAGCAGAGCAAAATACTTCTAAAGGAGCTAGAGAAGACGAGTAGATTGTTTGCCCTGTGTAAAAGAAAACTCCACTAACCATTCTGGCAAAGGCAAATCCTCCATCCCCAATGCCAGAAGTTATTTCATTCCTGTGACTGAAGTGAGATGTCTGTGGGTTGGAGCTGCTCTTGGGCTTGGGGCAGGATAAAACTGGCATCCTGCTGCATCACACACAACTCGACAGCAATGAGGGCTCTGCCTCTGCAGCTCTGCTCCATGTTTAAGCAAGGCAGCTTTGAAGCCACACACACATCCTTCTGGACCGTGCTCTCCCATACAGTAGCATGCCCCAAACTTTTGCTGTTAGTATTACCATGCCCAATTTCTTTCTTTCTTTTTTTTTTTCTTTTTTTCTTTTCTTTCTTTCTTTTTTTTTTTTTTTTAAGATTTAGGATTAAATTGAAGATTGTACTTCAATTTTCACATCTTTGTACATCCAAAATATTGATAAACAACATAGTGCCAGTTCTCCATCAACTAGAACCTATGGGAGTTGAATGTTAGTCTAGTTCCTCTTGCTCAGAATTTTTTCAATTATTTTTACATTCATGTATCTCTGTACTCACAACACACTGGCTGACAGAGAAAGAGAGATCTGGTCCCATAAAGTGCTGGCTAAAACAAAAATTACGAATGCGTGAAGAGCTCTGCAGAGGTTACGTGGCTGCATGCTCAGGAGGGACAATAATGCTGCGGAGGAGGTTGTGCCAGGAAATGGGTGCCATGCCAGAGCTGCCACTCCAGTGGCCTGCATTGGCTGGGGAATCTTCCCACCTAGCCTTAAGGGAATGTGATTTTATTAAACAAAAAACACAAAACAAGGCAGCAAACATGAACTTCTTGGGGTTTTAAATTTCTGTTCAAAGAGAGGTAAATCCTCATGAGGAAGAAAGCACCTACCACCATGAAGATACATCTGCCAAGAGAAAAGGAAGATGCGTTCTGATGAGCACTTCTGCACCTCAGCACCTGCTCTTCCCAAGAAGAGGCTCTTCTGCCTGACATGGAGGATAATTAAAGTAATGCCAGACATGGAGGATAATTAAAGTAATGCCATGCATCCCGCTAGTATGTGTCAGTGTCCAAAAACTGTCTTATGACTGCCTTTTTTTAGCATATAGTGAAAAAATGGGCACTGTCATAGAAATGACTAACCAACCCTGAGCACAAATAAGTATTATAATTTTATAGCTTTTGAGAACAGTGCTATGGCTTTAGAGAAGAGTGGCATTCCTTAAAATGTAAGGGAAACCTCACAGCTGGAGGTTGGTACTGTCAGCCTGTTAAAATCTCCTAAAATCATTGACATTAGGAATTGTAAAGATGTTCCAGACAATATATTAATTTTTTTTAACTTCTAAAAAGAACAGTAAGAAAAATTAAATATATCAGAGTTCTCTTTTTTACTTGAACTTTTTCATGGCATTAATCCCAACAGCTTGAAGGTTGTAGCTGAAAAATGAGGTGGCACCCTGAAACAGTGAACAGCGGGACACGATTTATAAGAAACTTACACCTGTTGAACCTAACACTCCTGTCAGTTAGAATATGGTTGCTAACCAAAAAAATTTTAGCTTTTAAGAAAAAACGGCGCTGAGTATTGTGTAATAAATGAAATGGAGAAATTTATGTAGTTCACTGATTTAAAATTAGTCGAGTATCACTGACTCATTGCTGAGTATGCAAATGTTATTTTAAAAGTATGCATTACAATGCTAAAACTAAAAACCATGATTTCAAAAAATTCTACACACACTGTGCACAAACCAAAATGCAATCTTAGGAAGAAAAGACTAAATAATATAGAACATCAAACATCAAAGACTGCCATGCATTTAAGCCTATTAACCTACCACCTTTAATCTCTAGCTCTCTCATTAAAATGTTGTATCTCAATGCTGTGGAGTTTCTCCTGCTTTGTGGTAGAGTTTCAGGGTTTACAGCCCTGAATGAACATCTACAATAACATGATGTATGTTGTTCTACAGACGTTAGAATATAAAGAGAGCATTATTCTTCAGCTGAAATTAGACAGATGTTGATTACTAGTCAAATTATGTGGTATTCGAGGCTTGTGAAGTAGAAAGAAATATTTCTGGTAACACAAGTAGCAGCTGTAAAAACACTGCAGGAAAAATAAAACCAACCTTGAACAACATTAGAAAATCATACTATTTCTTCTCTAATATTTAATTTAAAAGTATACCACATATCTATTAGAACAAATGTTCATCTCTTCCACTTGAAGCTAATAAAAAATAGATATTAAGACCTCACTCACACAGATTTAAAAAATAAAATTGCATAATCTTGTTTAACAACAAAGCCAAACTTGATCAACTCTTCCAATACAAGGAATTTCTGCATTCCAGGCCAAAAACACAGAGAGAGTCACAACACTCCAACCTACCTGAATGTGCTAGTGGGCCTGGGAAAGCAGCTTCCTGCTTTGTGGAAACCTCACATGAAAATGCATTTTAGATGCAGACTGGCACAACAGGTAATAAAAGACAAAAGTATATTGTCAGTGAGAGCATCAGTAAGCTATGAATAAATGCGTCTTGTGCAAGAGTGTAGGAATCAGCTTCAGTCTCCCATGAAAACTATGTGATGATTTCAAGAAAATGGATCAATTTTCGTTCAGGACAACTGTCTGCCTGTCTCTCCATGGATTTACAGTCCTCTGTATATTTTTCCAAAAAATAATGAATGCTATTAAACTATTTTTCAGAGGTGATGATGGTGGCCAGCATATTTTGATAAAAAATAAAGAGCAAGAATAGAGTATTTTGAGAACAGCAGCAGAAGTAATCTTTTGCTGACTTCAAGGGACTGATGTAGAGAAATACAGCTATCAAACAACATAAATACATAAAAAGTGGATGGACAGAATGAAATGCACCTATTTTGCATTGAAAAGAATCTCAACTACATAAGCATTTTTTCTCTAAGGAAGTTAAAAATTATTACTATAATGAACAGAAGGTGAAGCCCTTTTAGTGTTATTTGGTTATTCAGAACAAACAAATTCTTAAAGATCACAAAAAAACAGTTGAATTGTGAAAGTGCAAGTTGCCTATGACTTTCATCGAGAGTGCTTATTGTAAATAAAGATCATATGCTGGTGGTTAGACACCAAATGGCTGAAGTCATCTGTAGTTCTGTAACTTCTTTTTCATCTCAAGCTTTTTTGTAACAAAGCTGATTCTGACTAAAAATTTATATGATGTGAAGTACACTTTCCTTTAATGTATTTTAGAAGTGAAGGTTACACCTTTGTGCTATGTCTGCATTCCCATAGCTAATGTCATAGTCTAAATTTAGTCAAAACTTAAGTGAACTGTCCATGGGCCTCAGAATATTTTGTTAGGCTAATGAGAAAGGATTTAGCCCTCATTTAAAAAAAAAAAAATCAAATTGAGACATCCCAGTCTAGACTACCTCCTCCTCCTATTCACCAAGGAATGGACCTAATTTTGTTTTTTCACTCTGAGCTGCCACTCTTTAATAAAAAACATTCATTTATTACAAAATTTAGTGAATAAAAATTTCATTTTGCATAAGTATTGCAATTAGTATTTCAACCTGGATACATGCCTCATGACAATGATACATAACTTAATTCTAAGGAACATATAAATAGCACAACAGGGATTAGAATGGTCGGTCTTTACTAGTCCTTACTACCTCACATATGGGAACACACTTAGTGTTGCAGTCTTAGTTGATCAATGTTTAAAAGAGAGTAATTGACTTTGGAAGGTTCCTTCCAAACTCATCTAGTTCAACCTTGACCAAAGCAGGACCAAGTTGCTTAAGACCTTTTCCAGTCAAATTTGGACCATCTCTAGGAATGGATATTCACAAATTCTCTAAATTAATTGCTCCAATAAGGTAAAATTGGTTAATTGAAGTTTTTCAGAAAAACAAGATTCAGACTTTGGAAAGAAGTATTCTTTCCTGTGATGAAGTAGGGGAAGAATGGATTAGAAGCACCATAGAAATGACTGAGGTGCATTATTAATTTTCAAGAAAAAAACCAAAAATATTCTTTACACTCCTCTAATAGTAAATGCTCTACAATTGCCAAGTTGATTTGCGAAATAGAGTGTTATCCATAGCAACATGCTATGACACTTTATGGTAATTACACCAACTGGATTTGGTAATTACACCAATAGGATTGGAGCAGGTAACTTCCAGTGTGATTGTGTTCTGAGGTCTGCCTGCCTCCTTGTTTGGCTCTTGGTCATCATACTTTTCATTTCAGTTACCCGAGACATCTTTCAGTTATGACCAAGAGATAAATTATTTTAATTATATATTCATATATTCTTATATTAGCATAATTAATATTGTAAAATAAATTATAATGATTTCATGGTACCATGATTCAAAATATATGGCTTACAGATCATGCAAGTGCTGTTGAAAGGCTATATTTTACTACTGAAATGTTAGAGAGCAAAAGTTTTTCAAAATACATTATAGTATTATAGATTTTACAATTAAGGAAGGAATTTGAGGCAGGCAATTACTGACCTTAGGACAGGAAGATGATGCATATTTCATAGATTCAAATTCCTCATAAGGAACCAGCAATTGTCTGATAGGTAAAATGACACCATTACACTAAGCAGCCAGGGGTTGTTCTCAGCCAAAGCGAGGAGCAGCCAACCCAGCACGCTGGAACCATTTTTTGAAAAGAAATGCCGACTAGGGGGAATCCTGCCTTATAACCACTCTCTGAACCGTGAGTGAAAAGGGGCAGATGGGTAGGCCAAAGAATGCTAAAACCAGGAAGCACTTGTGGTTAAAAACAGAAGCAACCACATGAATAAGATTTTAAGACAGCTAGACAACCCTGATTGAAAAAAACAATTTGAAAAACAGGAAAATAAAAACTAAGAAAAGCTACAAAGATTTATGTGCACTTACATTTTCAAGAAAACAGAAAAGCAAAGCCCAAATAGCTAAAGATCTAGATATTCTTTTAACAGAAAAGAGTCTTGTTGACTTCCTTCGCCATCTGGAAGCTTTTTATTAAACAAACAAATGAAACTTACACATTATAAAAATAGTTTTCATTATTTTACTACACACCCAGAGAAAGATTCCTTACTGGCAAAAACCAAAACATTATCCTTTCAGCCATAGATTAACTCCATGGAGACATTCTGAGTTATTATTGATCATATGTAATGTTCCCTTTTGAAATCTTTGAAAGTATCAGCAGAGTTTAATAAAAATGAAATTGAGTAATATTTCAGCTTTAAACATAACAGGTTTAATTGTCCTACATGTGTTAGGGTATTGACTAAGCAGGAAAAGATTTCTTGTGTATAAAACATGTATGAAGAAAGTGATGGAGCTACCAGTTGTCCCACCCCAGTTTTCTATATTGATTTTTTTTTTTTTTTGAAGTGTTGATGCAAAGGAAAACAAAGCAGAACAAAACAACATGACTCTAATTTGACCTTTCCAGCAGGTCATCTTTCCACACAATCCACAACACTTTTAATCTGGAATTAGATCAAAGTGCTTAAGTACTGTTAACTTGCAGGAATAACACACATCTGCATATGATAAAAGAGATGCTGCCACTTATCATCTGAACAGCAGTTTCATACTTAAAAGAACTCTTTCCTTTCAATTCAACTCGTAAGTCTAAAATGCTCCTTTAAATGACTTTGTATGGCTTGGCTGGAAGGAACTGCGCCAAAAGATGAAGGGCTTATGCTTTGAAGCCTCAGGCATCTGCATCATGTTGATTATTGCATCTAGTTTGTTCTGCTAATAAGTGAGGAAATGAAAATTACCTGTTAATAGATTAGGCTGACCTCTCCTTGGCTGTAAAAACAATTACAATCTAAGTCTCTTATTTTACTTTAATTGTCATGTTTGGAAGCCTATTTATCAAGTAAATATGCTTTGGGGGAAAAAGCATGATTTTGATGCCAAATGATTTTCCTCTGCATCAGCTTGATTTTTCTTAGTGAGTAAAAAGTATGAAAGTCTCAGCATGAGGGTGGTCAAATACTTGAACAGGACCCCAGGGAGACTGTAGTCTCCATCCTTGGAAATAATTGGGACTCAGCTGGACATGGCCCTGAGCAACCTCATTCCAATTGGTCGTGCTTTAGGCAAAGGGTTGTAATAGAGCTTTTGAGGTTCCTTCCAACCATCATGACTGTCCCACACTAGTTTTAATTAACAATTTCTTTACTATATATTGCCTGGCATGGTCTTTCTATTTAACTGATAGACTTTCTGTTTAGCTGATAGATCAACAGAAGTTCTTCCTTTGATTATGTCTTTTGACAAACAGTTTTTATCGAAACTCAGTGGTTACTCACTTCAGATTTACAGAGCATAAGTTTCCATAGCCATAAGCAACAAGCACCTCAAGAGCTCAGCAGCCTTGTTCTAGCTTAGTTATGGATAGATTAAATTAGAGATGACCTTTTGAGCTTTTGGTCCTAAACCCATAATGCCAGAAAACATTTAAACAGTTGGATTTCTATCATAAATTCAGGATTTATATCATAGGCAATCCAGATGTTTTTATTGTCAATAGATAATGTACTTAGAGTAAAAAGCTTTAAGGTCTACTTTAGATAAAGAATAAAAAATAATGTTAATCTACCAAAAAAAACTTAAAGTAAAAATGCAATTTTATCCATTGCCTGGAAGATGGAGCATATATTTATTGGCTCTTAAACTTTTTTTTTCCTATTACAGTGATTCGTGCAAAAATATCCAGTGAAAAGGTGGTTCCTGCCAGCGATGACCCTCTTGATACCCACAAAATGATCCGGTATGAAATCAAACAAATAAAGGTACATGGAATCAATCAGCTATTTTGAAGTTCATTACTGATAACTAATGTATTTGAGTACAACTAGCTCCAAATTGCTCAAATTCAGAGCAGGATCCACCTGGCTCCAAGATTAGACCTGGATGAACTATACCGAAAATTTAAAGTAGGAATGGAAAAGAAAAAAGTAAAAAGGAACAAAAAAGAAAGCTGTCCTGATATTCATGAGATATTTTGTATCTTGATTAGAATTTAGTTCTTCAGAACTGCTTGATGAAAACATACTTCAGTTTATTAACTATGGTATTCACATTTGCTTACTCTGGTAGATTTTTGAAGACCTATGTTGTATTATGCTATCAACAACTTTGAGGATACAAACTTCATAAACAAAGAACAAGCATTTCCAGCTGAAATAGCAAGGACCTGTGTTCACAACAGGGACATTTGCAGAAACATAGAAACAAAAAAAATCCCTCATACAAACAAAAATCACATACAAATGCTGCTAGGACAGAAAACTCATAGTGGAAGCATATAAAACAGTGAAGTGATTCAGAATCTCACCGAACGTTCTACTACTACTTTAGCTCCAATAAGGCAAAATATTTACTAAAGAACTTCTGGAAGACATATCCCAATCCCATTCAAGTCGCCATCAAACCCTCACTGAGGTCAAAAAGATTAATAATCTGTTAAGGGATAACAAAAAATAGAAAGCATTTTTCAATTAAGACACATTAATTTTTTTTTCAGTTTAATATGCAGTTTAATCTCTAATTTTTCATAGAATATGTTTTCTTATTATATTTACTCAGAACATGCAAGTAGACTATTATGAATTGATATATGCTTTAAAAAATAAAATCCTTCAAATAGTATCAGCTCTCAGAAAGCTGATAGTGATACATTACCAAGAAAGATGAGAGAGTTTTTAAACGGACCGTAATAATACTCTAAGTATTATGATTACTGGAGTTCATATTCCCCAGGTCCTACTTACAAACATTTATGGTAGACAAGAAAATCTCAAAATATTCATAGGAGTATCACAGTTTCTGTTAAAGTTTTCTACCACAAACAAACTACATATACACACACACCAGTTTCACTAATTCCATTCTTTTCACCTGTTACCACAGTGCCCCCTCTCCTCCCAAGCTCATTACCAGCTGCCATATTTTGCTCTTAAGCTATTAAGGATAGTTTCAAATGTTTCTTTATGCAAACAGCATACAAATACAACAGAAATTCTCTCTCCTCCTATTAGGACTTTAATTTGGCCTTGCTACCCTGCAACACCTAGTGAGCAACCTTACAGAAATGCAAATCTTACATGTAGGCACAAGAACGAATGAGAAGCGTAGTCTGTGCTCTTATTTTCAGCCTATAACCCAGGTCTTCAGTGGCAGAACACTGAAATCGCTGAAATCCATTTGCACGCTTTGGACTTTCCCCCACATTTTCCTAAGTGGAAAGCCCAGGAGGTTTCCTAAGCTCAGAAACATCACTAAGATCTTCATTTAATTCCACTGAGCTTCCAAAAGCAAGTCTGCTAGGACAGGACCTGCCAGAGAGGTTTTTAATAAAAGATGTTCTCCACTTTTACACAACAGATGTCCTCTCTTTTTCTGTACATGCTTTGGCTAGGGACAAAGCGGTCACCCTAGTGCACCTTCCAAGCCGCACAACCTCTAGCTGCAACAGAAGCAGATCCTGAGTTTTAACCCTGGCACACAGGTTGCTCAGCCACATTGTCTTTAACAATCACAGAAACAAAACCTGCATTTGCAAGTTCTGCTCGCTGCTCAAGCTAACACTTTGCACTAGCAGGGAAGCAGGTTCTTTACAATACACATGCAGTCTGCTGCTGCTTCCTCATTTGGCCATCTTTTTGAGAAGATCTTCCAAACTGGACTAGTAGATACTTTGCAATAACCAGACTACTTTTATCTAATAAAAATCGATACATTGCCCAATACAAATTTAAGATTTTACCACGCACAGCTGCTTTGCATAGGACATTGTTTTTGTTTTGGGCTTTTTTGCTTGTTTTGTTTTTGCTGGATGCTTGTTTCTTTTAATAAGTATTATAAAACCTCATCCAACATTTTTGAATCAGAAGCCCTATGACAACTATTTTGACTTTTTAAAATCTGTAACTAAAGGCTTCAGAGTAAAATCAACATATTACAGCATACTTTCTTGGGTCTGTACTGTTTAAACCTCTTGGCAGAAATTGAGCAATCTGACCATATTGTGCAGTGCTGCCAGGGAGAGCTGGCCCCTGGGAGCAGGGGGGCTTTGCAAGCATCTACAGCTGTCAACACCCAGCACGACGTGACCAAGCTGGGCTGCCTCTGCGGTGGGATTTCAGTTATGTCATATTAGGTGACGACAGCCGTTCTGAAGCCCATTACCTTCTCATGATTCCCTCTCACATTTGGCTATAACAAGATGTGCTTTGATTTTTTTTAAAAAAAATAGTTTACGAATGACAGTCATAGCTGGAAATGCCACTTAGGGAGCAGGCAATCTGAATCCTGCATGGATTGGATTCTGATCCTTTACGTTTTGGTGCTGCAGGCTATCAATTTAAGAACTGGATTCCATTTTCCAAGAGTTGTTTCAGAAGATCACATTGGGCATAATTCTAAACTGCATATGGGAAAAAGGGTTTGTTTTAAGAAGAGTATAGGAACAACACTCAGTTTCTTTGTATGGTTCATTTTCTGAAAGTTACACGCATTTACACTAATCAGGACAGAATTTCCTATATTAATATAAAGAAATTCTTGCATCTTCAGATGTTCAAAAGTGCAGCACCTCATTTAAGCTAAATGTTGGGTCTGAACTACTCCTTAATTGGAACAAGCTAGTAGATTATAATTTGAAATATTTAAAGACCAATTAAATTATTAAATGTGCTTTTTTAGTGGCTTTGTAATTTTAAAAAACAAAGATCTTATTTTCTTATAAGCAATGGACACATTTCATTTCACATATAGATTGGATCTAACTGTTGGTATTTTCTCTTGTAAGTTCAGACAGCAAAGAGTACTTTCCCAGAGGTACATCATATAACAACTGTTGCTTGCAACTAATTTTCATTTTTGTTTCCACTACTGATTTACTATTCATTTTCTGATAATTTTCAGATGTTTAAAGGATTTGAAAAAGTGAAGGATGTCCAATATGTCTATACTCCTTTTGATTCATCACTCTGTGGTGTGAAGTTAGAAGCTAACAACAAAAAACAATACCTTTTGACAGGTAAAATAGAATAAGACTAACCTACCTATAAAAGCGGAAGTAACTGTTCAGCGTCAAATCAATTAACTTTTCAAAACTAATCAAATGTTATAAAACTAAGTATTTATTTAGAGTCGACATGGACAAACAAAACGGAAAGCATAAATTATATAAGGTTGTAATTGTACCTTGATCTTACGCCTTCCAGCATTCATCAAAAAGTCTTCTAAGTTTTAGAGGAACTCTACTGTAAGTACATCATTAGTAAATAAATACGCTATTTTTATTAACTTTAAACCAAGAGTGCTAGTTTTCGCATTAATGCAAATGGATTTAACGAGACTACACATGCCTACCTCTATACAAATGCGTAAACACAGACTATTCTATAGAGCCCAGGAATCCTGGTTTAACATACCAGTGCTTTTTTATTATATTTTATTATTATTACAACAACCTTTGCATTCCATAACCTCAGTATTTAGAAAAGTTTCATTTGTTTGCCTTATTTTTCTTATTTTCCATGCTGTAGGACAAATTTTAAGTGATGGTAAAGTCCTTATCCATTTATGCAACTACATTGAACCATGGGATGATTTATCCTTGTCTCAAAAGAAGAGTCTAAATCAGAGATATCAAATGGGCTGTGGCTGCAAAGTAAGTAGAGAGTGAAACAGTGCGTAACAGTGGGTCCTGCCTTAAAGGAAATAGCATCGTTCACTGATGGGTTCTGTTTTCTTATGCACAAAATATCATACAATTTTATTTGTGAATAAATATAATTTTAAAGAAAGCTTCAGTTTACTGAAATCATGTACTACTTACTTTCCATTCAGATCACTACCTGCTACATGGTGCCCTGCTCAATCACCACCCCAAACGAATGCCTCTGGACAGACTGGCTCATAGAAAGAAAGCTGTACGGGCACCAGGCCAAGCACTATGCCTGCATCAAGCGCAGCGATGGCACTTGCAGCTGGTACCGAGGTGGTCCACCCCCAGAGAAAGAGTTTATTGATATCAGCGAACCTTAAAACGATCACTTCCTAAAAGCCTCGGCGTCTCATTCCACCAAGCCCTGCACGCTCACAGCTTCGAACTGCCACTGTCTAATGTATCTGTTGCTTAGAAACAAAAACAAATTGTCCTGCACAGCTCAAGCACAGGGTTTGTGGAACTGGCACTCAGGCAAGAAGAGGAACAAATCTCCTGGAGGTAGCTACTCTGTAAAGTTATGCTCTGCACAGAGAGGCTTACACCGAGAATGCTCCTCTGTGCTCCTTGCAGCATAACTTTTTTTTTTTTTTTTTTTTTTTTTAATAACACCAATATGAATGTAAAAGAACAAGAGTATTGTCAGAATTTCATCCCCTATTTCAGCTACCCCACAGATTAAGAAAGCCCCAGGTTTTATTCCACATCTTTCTCATGAAATAAATATTTCATAGAACTTTTTTTCTGTATGAAAGTCTTCTGATATGAACGAATTATTGTACAGTGTATATGTAAAGTATTATAACAATGTGCTATAAAACAATTCAAAGATTCATGTTTTTTCCTTATCTGTCAAAACATGCTAAACATTTTTGTGATTAAAAAAACAAAAAACATTATGCTCTTATTTTGTATGCTATTTCGGTCATAGCTTTGTCTGCAGTCATAGCTTTCATGGGTAACTAAGTTAAAGCATGCCTACAAAATGAAAAGCCTCTCATGCAATTCATGGCTCTATGGAGCAGCCTATACTCTAGAAAGAAGAGCCAGATGTTTAATGCTTATGCTCTGCATAGAATCAGCACAAACAGCAGCAGTCTAAAACAGCTTGTATTTAAGAACCATGCCCCTCTTCAGTGCGGTAGTAGTACTTGGTTATGCCTCACAGATGGAAACCTGAAACTAGGGCATTTTATTTCAGGACATGCCTTGGCTTTTAAAAGTTTATGTAAAAATACATGCGATAGGTATTAAATAACTTACATGGAAAGCGCTTTCTAAAAAAGCTCCTACATATTTGACCATAATCAATAGCTTCAATTTACATTAATCATTTTTCACTCATTAAAAGCACACTGTATTACACTACAATGAATTTGGTAACACATGAACCTATACCATACCAGAAAAGTGTTATATCATATTTTGTCTTTTAGTGTCTTAAATTTACAAATTACTGTAGTTAGCAACTAATCTTACATGTAATGAAGGTTACAAAAATCACTTAATTGGCAGCAGCAGAACTTAAAACTTTCCTGTAAACGCCAAAGCTTAGACAGTTGTCCAACTGCTCGTACTCTAAAACGAGATGAGACCCACTGCATAGATTCAGGTCGTGTGATCGCTGCCAGTTCTGACCTGTATTTTCCTCTCTCCAAGTGCTACCTTTGAGTTGCTTTTCTCTCACTCCAATTTGGGGAAAATGGCAGGTGGAAATTATATTCATAAGAGTTTAGAACAACAGGTAGAGAAAAAAAATGGGCAATTTGTTCTTGTTTGGTTAGATCAGATCAACTAAAAGTTTTAATGTAAATACTTTACTTAGTCTACAGACTCATCAAATTCAGAGAAGGCCTCACTTTTCCAGACAGTGCCATTAGTCTGTTTACGATAGAGCACTTAAAAAAAAAAAAAACCAACCAACCAAAAAAAACACCCCAAACCCACCCAAGATCTTAAAAATGTGATTGTGTTTTTTGCAAGTTTAAGTGCATGGGCATAATTAACTCCATTAATTCAATGAATATGTTAGGCATAAATTCCAGCGTGTCCTGCATATCTTGCCTGCAATCTGAGATACACTGCACTAGATATATTATGCATACTTGCAAAACACTTTATAAGTGACTTAGCTACTCATATAAAAGAAATACAAAGATTATATTTCTTCTAATAAGGTACTGATATTGCAGATATAATACTGCCAACTGCTGTGAATTTCTGTGAATAATTTACCACCAGGTTTAAAAAAAAAAAAAAAAAAAATCAGGCCTCATTTCCTTATGTCAGAGCAGAACATTTCTGAGATGAGCCTGCAAGAGCTCAGTAACCAGAAAAGGTCTGACCATGCACATAGCTAATTCACAGTCAATACATGTACAGTGCAGCATTTGTTTCCAAATCCATTTTGGTGCCACGGTGTATTTGGAATAGTGCTTTGCTGTAAACAGATATTTTCTGCCTTTTTAATTCAACATGGTTTTATTTATTTCACTTACGTAATAAGGTGCATAAAGAACTCTGTAAAAAGATTACTTGCTTAATATTTATAAACAAGTATGCCATAACTAGCTTCAAAAACATTTATATTTGATTGACCCTTAAAATATCTGATACAAGGTGCTTCAAAATTAATGGCTGACCAGTTTGATTTCTCTCTGGTCATAAATCTAACCAAATTTCCCATAACAGATGGTAAAAAGATGTTTTTCTCATACCCATAAGAAGGGCCAGAAAAGCTTTAAAGCATCCTCCCAGAATGACTATTTTTCACGAGATTCCTCAATGATAAGGATTATGAATAAGACCAACTATAGCATTGCTGTAGTTATTGTATATGTTATTTTCCTATGAAAATTGTTGCTGTAGTGGCATTCAATTATTACAAACAGTAGACGTACTACATTTTTTACTTCCTAAAATTATGTATGTGCTAAACTGAAGGTCAAAACAGAAATATAGCCATTTGAATTTAATTTGAAAATAACTCATTTGTTTTATAATTAGAGATCAGATCAGACCATACAGGCAAACAGTGTGAAAAAAACTCTTGCATACTGTTGACCTTCATCAATGCTCCAGTTAAGTTTTAATTAAAATGTCCAACAATTACATTAGAAGAGCTATTTTCTTCATTACAGAGAACAGAGAAGGTAAGAATGGAGTGAAATAATAACTAATTGCCAAGGAAAAGGCCATATATATGACTCAAATAGCAGTGAGTTCAAAAAGCCTTACAGCATTTTGTATAGCTTTAATCAGTTTGAGATGAATGTGTATGTTTCATCAAGTGTTTCATTAAAGCAGCTCTAGTTTTACACAAAAGAATGGCATCTTTATTTATCTTACACTGCTGTCTAAACACTCAGTACAAATGATCACCGGAGTATGAAAGAAGCAAAAGAAGTAGAAGCCCGAGTTTACCTCTGGAACACTCACTTGAAAACTCAATTTACAGAGCTGAAAAATGGTTCGTCCTGTACAGAGTTACCCTTGTCTCTGTACAACATAGCTTCAACTGAACACAAGGGTAACTACACAAATTATTTTAAATGGGAAACATCAACTTCTGTAGAAGCAAGATCAAAATAGTCAATTATTAATAGTGTTTAAAAAACAACAGCATTCAAGCAGCATGATATCACCTACTAAGAAAATGCCATTACCCAGATATCTTCACAAGAATTCACACAAATTACTTGAGAAGGAAAAAGCAAGTAAATGAGCTTCACCAGAAACAGTTATTACAGCATATCTAAACCATACATTTCAATACAATACTGAAATGGGGGTGAACCCTCCCTAGATTAGTGTTCATGACATCAAAAAACATAAAATATGTTAATGGAGATTTGAATAATATTGATTTTTTTAAAAAAAAGCTCAAAGCAGCAAAGCAGACCAAGATTTATCAATTAAGATGTTAGTGATCAATGTAGAGAAAACAAATGCCCTCAGGCAGATGGGGAAGCCCTGAGATTTACAATCATACTCTATCAGCAAATAAAACGTGACTTATAAATATATATGGAGATTTTCTTGTTTGCAGTCTACTGCTGGACTGGAATTCAACAGTTGTTTAAAATAGCAGTTTGCAATTGATCTGGTGGACCTTCCACAGGGTCATGCTGAATATAAATTAAAAGCTGAAATATTTATTAAATTATTGGCCAAAATTTTTAGCAATGCATAGAAAGATATACTGTTTGAGCAAAATAGTGAACAATAGCTGATAAAGTAACGAAGATAGAATAACTACTTTTGCGCAGGAAATTACACACCAGCTTTGATCTTCGCCATTCTTAGGAATACAGAAAGATATAAAACTGATTAGCATTTGATAAAATGTATTGCAAGACATGAGATGTGGTTCTGTTTCTCCAAGTGGCATGAATTAATCCCCAGAGCATAAAACTTACTTTGCATTAAAAAAACTTTCCTATACATTTTCCTGGCAAATTCATCAATAAAAGTCTCTCCCATTTTGGAAATATTAAACTGGTCAGCACGATACTTTGATCTGCTGCTCTATATCAGTACCATTTAGCTCTACAGAACTCCAGTCCAGCAAACATACTAAATGGGTAACTCTGGCTTTTTGTAAGTGTCACATGTGGCAAAACAAAGGGGAAAAAAAAATGTGTAAATTAATTCCAAAGCAGCTAGAGAACTGGGAACAACCCTCCTGCCACTCTCACAATACGTCAGAACATACAGCAGAACGGTATTTGTTACCAACCAGACAGAAGTGGAGAAACGCGACTTCAGAGGAAATCTTAGCGAACTGGTATCACTAAAGGCTATCTTACGTGTCCTTTACAACAATGAAATGCTGGCCCTGGCCAGAATCTCACACACCCAGCAGTCATGGCTTGAGGACCAAATAAACATAACCAATGCTATCATGACATTGCAGTGATACTCGGGGGAGTTGAATCACAACCGTGTGACACATGCTGAGCAGCAAGATCAGAATTAGATACAATTTATGTCTCTGAACTAGCCTGTCCCACCAGCAAATTCTCTCAATGGTGAAATCATCTTCTCTAGAAAGAAACACTCAGGAAAGAACTTCTGTTTCAAAAGCATAAGAAAAAAATGTGTGCAGCACAGGACATAGGATCAAATGGCTCAGAGGAAACAAATATGCTCGTATTTAGGCACAGGAATAATCACAGTTGCATATTTATCTACAAGTTGGAAACTGTCTGTTATTACCAACACCCCTGAACCAGTATCACAAAAACACTTTCACAGACTAGTCAGGATAAGATACGCTTGCCCACTTCCACCTAAAGCATCATTAGACAGATTGCTATAAACTTCCCACTTTATCTTTCACAGGACAAAAAAGACTTCGCTCCATCTTAGCAATTCCTCTTAAATAGGTTTGGGAACTAAAGATTACAAAGTATCTTGAGCTTTTTCATGAAACAGGCAGCCTGTATAAAGTTTTTTTTAGCTGACTCTGTACCTTTAGTTTCTAAGTTATCCATAATTGATGAGAAGCAGCTGTTTTTTAAACCTTAAGAAAACACAGGATAAATAAACATCAAAGGCATCTGAAGATCTAAAACTTGCAGAATAATATTATTTTAGGAAAAAATAAGGTAAGCCAAGGTCATAAGTGCCATTTTCAAGAATTGCTTTCCGTATGCAAAGGACTAGGAATTAAACAATACCAAAATAGGCACACAAAAATCACAAACAAGGCGACTGTAGATGAGTTACCTGTTCTACACAAATACAGCCCTACGTATCATCTGCAAAGACGAAAAACCCTTGAAATGCATCAAAAAAATTAAGTTGAAAACTTAATTGTTCTGTATCTTTAGAACTGTTCAATCACTTTAAATTCTGAAATTACATGACTAGCTTCAGATTTGAAAATCTTCCATTTAACAACTACAGTGCTTTTAAGTGGCCATTCCACTGAAAGTTTTCAATATGGCTTTTAAAAACAGAGGCAGTAAATAATGGAAAGTGAATCACGTGTGTATATGATTCCTATTTTATATGGACAGTAACTAAATTTAGCTTTAGCAGATATTTGCACATACCATTTCCTTATGATTTGGGTAGAATGTCTGCTCAATTAATGGGAACTTCTCTGGACCCAGAGTTTTGTAGACAGACACCAGCTGGGCAAACTGTAAAATAAAACAAAGAAAAAACCTTGGGAAAGAAACCATATCATAAACTCGGCATCAAACATGCACATACTTACTGCATGGTTTACCTCTCTCCCCAAAACACACTTTTATCATCCAGCCATGATATGATTCCCTTATACAGGATAACAAAGAATTCTCACAGAGGTAACCCTTCAAATATACAGAAAATGAAATGCATTGAAACAGTAGTTTGCAGATAGCTCACGCTTTGCATATCTTACGCTTACTGTTTGATAATAAAATTATTAAAATGTTTTACTTTCTACCACCTTTGATCTAGAGATCAGACTTAACATTAATTTAGCCTTCTGGCACCATGATGACATTTTAAGGCAGTTTTTCAAAAATGAAGAATAAAGAAATGTGGTCATGAACCATGTGTCATATAAGGCATGAAAAGAACAACAGAATTTTAGTTTTCTAGGCTTTACTCCTGTACCATAACCACATGACGATCCCTTACCATCAGTTAGAGATTTGTTAATTTAAATAGTTACAAGTTGTTGGCACTTCTATTAATTTTTTCTTTCTGGGCCTTCACCAAGACACACATATCCACTCTGCCTATAATGTGGACTGCAGTAACATAGCATAGAAAGCAAAGCAACACAAACATTTAAATATTTTAAAATATATTCTTAAAATTATTAAAGAAAAACACCAAAAGGCATGAAATTCTTTATGTTAGTTATAAATGTACTTTGGGGCTGTTCTGTTTAGCAAACAGAACGACTCTAACAGCTTAAAAACTAAACCACTTTGGAAATCACAGCTTAGCAAATAAAGTTTCTAGGGAGCAAGAAGCCTTGGCAGTCAGAAGACCACTATTGTTTCAAGACTCCAAAGCTTTAGCTTGTACATGCCTGTGACGTATTTAATTGTCATTATGCCAACATGAGACATAAACAACTTAGCCCAGCAGCTTGAATAGTGGGATTTGCTGATTACAAACAGGAAAAAAAAAGCAGAGAACAATAGAACTCTGTCCATAATATAGTTCGGTCAAATACCTACTCTGCTAATGCCATTTAGGGGGCAGGGAGAGTAAAAACTGTTTAGAGGAAAAACACCAATAAAGGTTTTTTATTGCATTTCCAGCTGGCATAGAAAATTTGTTTAATTTAGTGGTGTTTACTTAGGTTTGGTAAAACACATTTAAATTTTGAAAGCCAGTGGAAAATGCCTTAATCATGAGTAGGTTTCACCAGAAGCTCAAAAAATTCCAAGTTGGATAACATACTGTACAAAAAAAACCTCAAGGAAAGGAAATATTATCACAGCTACCAAAATAAGTAGGTTTGTGAATAAGATTCCTGACAGCTTACTATTTATTTCTGTCCTTATCCAAGATCCAAGTTTGAAATCTCATGACCAAATACCATCTATTAAATATATGATTTCTGCCAAGCAATTATTTGGACCATGGAAAACTATGTTAAATATATCTATCCTTTAGAAATATGCTTTAAAGAAATGGTGATCGATAAATTTATGAAAATAAATCATATGAAAGCAAGCAAAAAGCACGGAAAAAGTGACTGTATAGGGATTATGACATTTACTTAAGAGGTAAGACAGCTGTATTTCAGATGATACTAGTGGATGTTTACTTAAAATAAAACAGCATGAACCAGACAGAGATAATATGAATGTATCACTGTAAAGACAGCCTATAACCTAGTGATTAAGCTATGAAATACCATGTAGGATATGGGGGCTCAAATTTCCTGAAGTAGCAGAGAGAAATGAACTCAGATTTCCCATAGTTGGAGGTGGGCCTTGTTTATCCCCTGTGCCTGCTAGGATGCTGCCTTATCTCTGTATGTCCTGTATGACCTTTGTCTCTCTAACTGTATGAATCTCTTGTCAAGTTCTCCCCACAAAAAAAAAAATAACATAACTTGATGAATGCAACCCAAATTCACATAACAATTTTAATAAATTATAAAGGCATTTTTCCCAGAAATTTAAATAAGCACCACCACAGCAAAACCACAGTTCTGGTTGTACATTCCTGAATTCCTACTGATACTGAATATTTTTCTTTATTTTTCTTGGAAGTTTATGAAAATAGTTTTACTCAAGTTTTAATGAACATTTGATTCATTTAAAACAGAATTTTGAATGCACCTTTTCATATTCTCCTGAGCAGCAAAACAACAAAAATATATTTATATATAAAATACATTTTTATATATTATATATACATCTGTATATATTTAACACAGGCAAAAGGTTTGTTCAGAAAATACTGTTGAATCTCAACAGCTTGGATGCTATACAAAGCTTACAAATAGGCTGAATACTGTATTGCCACTTTTTCTGTTTGTCATCCCGATCAACTTTAAAAAGGTCTGCTAGAGATCTTAGTTCTTAGGTGGCAGGAAAAAGTATACGTTAAGTTGACCAAATTAGTGTTTTGACTTTATTATAATTTTGAAAGGGGCTGGGGGGAGGGGGTTTCCTGGGCTATTTAAAATGACCCTAAGTTCCACTTTAAATCACAGAAATGCTCATCAAATTCCTCCTCAAGAAAGACCACGATGTTTTCATATGATAAATGACTGAATTACTATCTACTCCCATGCAGAATGCTTTCAGAGCTACATTTCAATAAAGTATTTTACAGAGATGCCAAAAATCTGGATGATTTTAAACAGTTATCCAGCAAAAGGACCTTATAGAGCTTAACATTTCAGGAGGAGTCTTTTCAACTTCTTAGAGAGGAAAGAAAGCTTTCTGCTTTCTTGTTCTAGCTGAATTTACACTTCATTTTAAAAATTTCATGCCTTTGTCCTTCTCAACTCTAACATGGTGATCCTCACATAGGTGTATTCAAGGATCACCCCCCCCCCCCCAAAACTTTTGCTGGCTTTGCAACAGCTTCTGTAAAGACAACTCTTTTCTAACATCTTGGGGATGAAATGCTTTCATCTTGTCCTAGACATGATGCCTCCATAAAAGCACAGCAGAGCCACCTGCACTTTTTCTACTCTCTAAAGTTAAGAGACACTTAAGTCTCTGATTTCATATGAAAGCTTTAGAGGGTTTCATTACACTCAGAATAGGATATTATAAATTTGACTGCATATATTGTACCATAATGAAGTAACTAATAGTTTCCCAAAAAAAAAAAAAATCACTTCCTTGTTTCACAGAAATGTGAAGAAATTGTTTATCATTTTAGACAAGTTAAAAAGCACTTAATTAGGCAAGTGATCTCTGAAATGCTCAGAGAGGCACCAAAGCTGCACAAATGTTTCCTTTTAAAAACACTAGATTTTAATTGACATATTCCAGATGCAGCTTTGTTTTACCTTTAGTACCTGCAATCTTCTAGTCTTGCCAGACTGATGATAGTTATCATCACTACACCTTCCAGTGGGAACTTTTCTGGTATGTAGATTAAGATTTTCATGCAATAAACTATTTTTGATTTGCCTCTACAGTTGTTCCCTGCAAGGATAGGGCTTCTGAGCTTTTCTGTCAGAGATTTTCCTTTTTCAGCAATTTATTGTCAGTGCTTTTTAAAACTTAAGGCTTACTCCTATTGACAGCAAAAGAACTCCAGCTAACTATCTAATCGTGCATGGCAACAACTTAAAAGATTACAAAATTCAGGTCTACAAACAAGATGAGTTGACACTAACATAAAGAAAAAAAATTTTGCATGAGACAGAACACTGAGTCCCTCTATTGCAAGCAAATGTACTTTTAAATGACATGGACTCTACTTTTACCTGTGCTGAGCTGTGGGCATGCCAAGAGAATGACTGAATGCAACTGCAGTTCCCATCTGTATTCCCATAAATAAATATGCCTTTTACCAAGCCTTTTAACACTTTTTATAGGCTGGTTTATATTATCTATTATAGGAAATTAAGAAAAGGTGACATTAGACTCTTTAGAGTGAGAAGAAATTACCAAGTGGTTCATGAGGAAGAGGCTGGAGGGAGTCTGACATACATATTCTGTGGGAAAGAACTTATTTTAAGCAGTATTTTTCACCACACCTTATTTTGAATTGCTGTGTTTGTTTTGTCGATAGTTTTAATTTTACCTGACAAGTTTTAATTTTACCTGACAAGTATATGCACCCTCATTTTATGCTCTGCATATTTGCTCTTTATGATGATTAACATACAATTCTCCTGTTATACCTTAGTAAACATCAAATACTTTCCAGAAGACTGGGTGTATACACAGATTCGATTTGCTATTTGATACCTGAGACTCAGTGTTGCAACTTACACATTTGTTTCTGTCTGAAACATTCCACAAACAACTTAAGGAGCATATTCAAACTTTTGAAGTTAACTGAGAGTTGGACACAACGACCTAACACCAAAACACTGCCTACAAATTCAAGTTGAGCCCATTAATGGAATACAGAAATGATGAAAACTGACAAAGAGCTTGATGCCCCTCCAGTAGTTTTCCGTTAACATGCAAAACTGAAGACAACACAGTGTAACAAAGAAAGGGAAGATAAGTTATATGGAACCTGCATCATAATTTAAGTGATAGTTTTATAATACTGATAAGGAGTTTTCCAACCCTTCCCAACCCCTTCCAGCCTGGAGAAGAGAAGGCTGAGAGAAGACCCGATCAGTATCTTTAAGCACCTCAAGGGAGGCAGTGAGGAGGATGGTGCTGGCCTCTTTTCACTGGTGGCCACCGACAGAACTAGAGGAAACAGCCAGAAACTAAAGCATCAAAAGTTCCACTGAAACTTAAGGAAAAATTTCTTCACAGTGAAGCTAACAGAGCACTGGAACAGGTTGCTGAAGATCTTCCAAACCCGCTTGGATGCAGTCCTGTGCCACGTGCTCTAGGTGACCCTGTGTGTGCAGGGGGGTTGGACTAGATGATCTCCAGAGGTCCCTTCCAAACTTAGGCATTCTATGATTCTGCAGTCCTGGGTCATATGAGAAAGTGGCAACCTCCTGCCCTTACTGAGCTGGTCTCCTCCACTA